TTTTCGCAGAGAAAAGGAAGGCGTTTTCCACAGCTTTCATCATCCCAAGTCCCGTCATTAACTTTCATTTGAACACAGTTCTGGTATTCATGAGCGTTGTCTGGCTGGCCCTCACTCCACCTCTCGTAAGTCACCTGACTGCCATTTGGCCGATGAAAAAGATCCTCTGTGGTTATGTCATTAAGACCTGTCCAAACTCCATACATAGCTTCGTTATTTGAATCTGGAGACATCAAATTTAATTTCAAAATAATGTTACTGAGGAAAATCTGAACCTCTTTACAACCGTAATGGTTTTATAGGCTGACGTTACCAACGTCTGCCCTTCGCAAGAGAACCCAACAAGAGTCAACTGATAACAAGTTAAGGTTAATGTTGGGTTAGGGGAGAGGTAGGTTGCTAAGATACTGACATTGTTCCGCCACAAAATAGTTTGTGGCGACAGCATACTTTTATCGTATAAACATATCGTGACCACTCCTGAAACTTACCGAGGTGTTCCCAAACTTGAGTTATCATGAGAATTGGTGAAGTTAAAAAATGTTGCTCTACCTGTCATGTTAATTATTTCTTCACTAGTCAGTGCAGCACCAACAATCATCAGATTTTTCAGATATCCCCTCGTTGTGTCATTACTGCCCCTCTTCAGTCCAATGTCACAAGTTGTGGCGGGGAAATTTTTGGGGATAGTGTTGCTCTTGTCACTTCTTCCTATTTCCTGACCGTTAAGATATAGGTAAGTCTTCCTTTCATCTCTGTTCCAGACCGCTGCGGCATGAAACCATTCGTCAATTTTTGGAGTTCTGTAAAAAAACGGTGTGGTTAGGGTGTCAAAAAGTAAGGAAGGCTTCAACCCTACTATGATTTGTATTAAGGTGGTAATGCTCTCTATATAGTTTTCTTCAATTATATAACCTTGTATGCAATATCATAACTTTTTGATTGTTAATTTTTGACAGTTAGTGGACATTTTGGTAAGTGTTTGATAAATACAGACAATCAAAGCATCGTTATTCTTGGTATGTGCTGAGATTGGCAGACTATCCAAAGCGAAAAAACAAAGTTTCCCTTACCCCGCACGAAATTTTAAAACGCGCTGTCCTATTTTGTGATTATGTAACTGAAACTGGAGTCCGTTATCTATGTAGGCGGAGAAACGCAAAAAGTAAGGATCTGACCAGTATCCAAATATAGTCGATGGATCTTTAACAGGGGATTGTAATTTGACCCAACTGGCCAAAGTGAAACTGTCCGTCACAAAATTAACGGCTGGAGTTGTAGCGTAAGCGTACAATCCATCGAGGTACAACGCTTTCTCTCTATCGATATCTTCTTCATATCTCGCTCCATTAAACAGGCTGTTGAAAGAAAAAAAAGAAGGAAATGTTCAAATGGGTGTGGTTTCCATTTAACCAAGCCTATCAGATGTATATATTGAAACTGACGTAAGGATTATGGGTCAGCAGTCAGCTTACCTTATGTCAACGTCACTGCCATCTAAAAGCCAGCGGCTGATCACGTTTTTACCTTAGAAAGAAAATAAATGTCGCTCAATTATTAACGATAGGTGGATGTTAGTTGTTTTTCTTCATGATTCAGGTTGGAACGTTTTGGCATCTGTTTTCATACATGCATCGTTCCCAAATGGAAAAGTAATTCAGGTCTGTTTTCCCATGCTACTCAATGCAAATTGTGGTACGAATAAAGATTTTCTGAGACGGACGTCACACGGAAAACAACTCAAATGACGATGACATCATTTGACCCTCTCTCTTCTGCTTGTTGGCCCTTTACACCCTAACATCAGTATGCTTAGTCTCCATACTCTTTCCTATACATTTCCCAAGGTGCTGACAAGGAGAATTTGTTTAACAATCAAGAGCTTCTTAAGTTGGAGATTATTTCTGTTATTCTCGTGAGCTTTAATGTTTGATTCAGGGGTGTTATTGTAAGGAGAAATTAGATGTTAGTCACTCTTAGGGAGTTAAAGGACGAATAGATCTGGAATCGAACTGAGTCGATGAAAAAATTAATAAGTATTGGTTAGTATCATTGTATTGTAAGTAAACTCAAGCAAGCATGCCTGCTGAAATTGGTTTGATCTGGTTGAGTAAATGGAAAATGAATGAGTTTTCATTTTCCTGATCGATCGACGCAAGTTCTCCTCCAATCGAATGGCAAAACTGGCGGGCTTGTCCCCAGGTCTTCCTCTCGTGAAACAATTTGAGGAGCTTGGAACCAAGTCTGTACCAACCATCTGGAAGAGCTGTGGCAATCATGAAATAAATAGCGCTACAGTTTAGACTCTCTGTTTATTTTCACGAATCTGCCCAAACTATGTTCTAGGGACAATTTGGAAATTTTAGTCGAACTGAGTACATAACGATGGCTAGGGAAGAATACTTAAGTATAGCTAATTAGATCATTTACAAGTAAGCATCAATTCAGACACGTCTTTAGGTGTGTACTTAAGATTTTGACGGTTACATTACATTTGGTGGCATCATGAGCTCACTTAAAAGCAATTAAAAAATAGGAAAGAAATTGTTGAAAAAAAGTTATCATAACAAAATGTTACAAGATGTTTATTACTGTCACAATAAACACATCTTACCTTCTTTGTAGACGCATTGCTCCGCCGCACAATGTTCAACTTCCTAAGATTTAAACAAACACGTGTTTGGAAATAGTAGCCTCCTTGATAGGAGCAATACCAAAATGAATTCTTAGGGTGAAAAACGATATAATAAACCCTAGAGTAGGTTATTTATACAAAGTTTAGCCGTTATTTAACAAAACCACGCTCTAAGCTGTTTTCAATTTAGCCGAACCTTTTCTATGAACGTTTATTTTTGTAAAGATTGTCGGAGGGCCGGAAGCTATTAGTGGAAGGACCTCTATTTAATCGAACAACTTTCTTATAGAGAATTCTTGGGGCTCACTGCTTGCATAAAAACCGCAGCCTGGGTCAGACCCAGCAGAGTACAAACAGGGTGACTATCGTAATTTGAATGCCAATTTACCAGTGAGGAGTTCCGAAAAGGGGGGAGGGGGAGGGGGGAGGGGGAGGGATGCGTAAGAATATTAGTTGAAATGATAAATTATTATGAAAATTTGATGTTCACAATATCTGAATGTAGTAGTATTGACTTCCAACAGGCAAGTAAGTTTGTTCGAGGTACCTTTCCCTAAATGCTAACAATGATAAAAGTATTACCGGTGGTTCATAATAATGACTTCCAGGACTTGAGATCAAATCTCGTGGCTCAGCAATTTTGCTGGAATTGTTCAGCTCACACGTAACCCATCCATTTGGTAACCTTCTGACGTTCATAGAGAAACACAGAGGAGTGTCCGCACATTGCCAACCACATGATATTGGATTAGAATCAGTCACAGTTTTAATGACGTGATTCTGTAGAGCAACACCTTCTTCCTTGAAAAATTTAACTGTTCTGCATCGAGCAGCCACCAAAGGCAAATAAAATAAGGCCATTATCAACTGCATCCTATGAAGAGAAGTTCATTGTGTCAGTGAAACTGATAGGGGCACTTGCGTGCTCGGAGATAATTTATTAGTGAAGTATAATTTAAAATTATATCTTCTCTAAAGAGAAGTGCACTCAATATCTACGTATTTGCTCATATATCAGCTACACTTTGCTAGTTCAGATCAAACTCAGGGTGGCTAGCTTTCATGGAAACCTGTGTAAATAAACTTTCAAGAATAATGTCCAAAACAAATACAATTGTGCAAACAAATTGACATATAAATTTTTAAAGATCATCATTAAAGTTCGCTGCGTTTCAAACTTATTTTATCTTACAAAAAGTTGATTGCAGCTTGGCTCCTTTGGTTTAAAGATAGAGGAGTTCCCTTCCTGAAGTTTCATACTTTTTTCGAACTCTTATTCGGAACCTCCTTCAAAATCGAACCGTAATGTCCCCTCAAGACACAACGAAATTAACTCCTGACACTACAGACAAACCCCAGATGGTCTGCATCTCTAGTTTTGTGTGTCTTTTTTGTGAGTGTCTTCTGTTTATGTTTTTTTTTCGGTTTAAGTTTTTTTGTTCCGCTTTTTAATTTCACCCTGAGAGATGTTGCGTTATCTAAACTCAAAGTGCTCATCATATATTTCGCTAAAAGATTTCTAGCTTGTTACGTAAGAATGTTCCAATTTCTTTAACAACAAAGAAGGAAAATGTAAAATACAATATTATGTAACAAAAAAATTATACCTTGTTTAACAGCTAACCGTGCGTTTCTTAAAGAAGTTCAATATCAGGAAAAAACAATCATACGAATTCCCGTCTACAAATGGATTTTTTTATCGCACTTCTCCAGCTAATGGCAGGTTTATTCAATTCATCTTTAAGGACAAATATTTATTGTGTTATCCTCGATCTTTTAAAACGTTTAAGGTTGTAACCTTTCTCCTTATATGGTCACATAACCTTTCTCCTTATATGGTCACATAACCTTTCTCCTTATATGGTCACATTATCATAGCTTTTATTTTTTTTTAGATCTTAGGTAACAGCAACTTTATTTGTTTCGTTGTAACTCAGCAAGGGTACATTGGTGAAAAAGGTGATAACGCTGTGTTTTTGACAATAAATATCGTTAAACTTTCAAGCAACTTGTTATTGATTGATTGCAATTTTTTCCGTGCACCAAGTAAACTTTTTTTTGTAGGTTTTAGATTTTTCCTCATTCTCTCGCGTTTTATTCCCTCAGATTTTGAATAATGACTATGTACTGTTTGTTTTTAGTGTGCCCTGCTGTGGATATCTTCTTGCTATTATTAATGATAGAGAATCCATCTGCTTGCTTGCTGATTTTTCTCGTGAATCTTTTACAAAGAGTTAAAGAGTTAAAATACAGTCATTTGAGACTAACACAGACTTGGAGTTATCGCAGGCTAAAAATCATCTAAAAGTTTTCATCTGCATTCTCTTTTTCTCCGGGTTTGTAACGATCATGCGCAGTGTGTTTTTCATCCGTAGGCTTTCTTTTCACAGACAAAAGGTAGATGCTTCGCACAGCTGATGTCGTCCCAAGTCCCCTCTCCAAATTTCATCCCCACGCAGTCATGATCTTCATTCATTAAAATATTTCTTGTGTCTGGTTGCTCAGGGGCCCATTTCGTAAATGTGACGTGAGTGCCGTTCGGCCAATCAAAAGTTCCCTCCGTGTAGAGGTCATTAAACCCGATCCAAGCACTATTGAACGATGGCTCTGCATAAGAAAAAAATACCTTACTTTCGTTTTGGTGTAGAAATTTGCTTTTCAAGTTTAAACTTTAGTTTATAAAGATAAATTAGGCCAAAAATCAATTCAAAAAGAAAGTTGGTGTTAGATATTTTTGACATGTCAGGCGTATATCATCTGAAACCAAAATGAGATCAACAAACATGATGAAAACAAGTAACGAGCTTGTGAATAAGCCTCAGGTGAAAGAATTGTTAGTTAAGTCTGACAATTCATTGAAAAATTACATAGCACTGATTAATGAATAGCTCTCTCAACAAAGATGCGCAGTGGGAATGCGCAGTAGCAATGGAGCCCGAATGCTCTAGAGTTTGACGTCAGTCAATTTCAAAATCAGAAAACTCTGTAAATATTCGTAATATCGATGTAGTATACTCAGCAAATCGACAACTTTCATGCAACGTAATATTTGTTCTTCAACTGTTTGATTATTGACTTTCTCTCCTCTCGTTCGACGACTATCGCTCTGACGAAGGGCTAACACTCGAAACGTCAGCTTTTTTACCCTTTACGGTGGCCAATTTACGTTTTCAACTCAGTTGTTAACACTAAATTACCTGCTATACTCTTCCACCGACGCAGTACCACAGTTTCTTTAGAAACTTACGCCCCGAAACGCAAAAAAATTGTTGAGTATGCCTTTAATTACCTATAATTTTGCTTATTATCTGTTCACCAGTAAGAGCGCTACCAATAATCATCAAATCCCTCAAATATCCTTTTAGTGTAGCACCGCTGTTCCTTTTCCTTCCAATATCAAACTCTTTAAATGGGTTGTAATCCTTCGGGGCAGCATCACTAGATACTGACTGGGACGCAATCTTTTGACCGTTCAGAAATAAATAGGCCATGTGTTTATCTCGGTCCCAGACTGCTGCTGCATGAAACCACTCGCCATGTGGAAGAGACCTGGGTATAAATGGACCGACTTGTTATTCTTTCTAAACTCAGTGTCCCGCTTGCAAGTAATGCTGATCATTTTGATTTGACTTTATTGTCTGGTCCGAAAAAAGAAACTTCATCAGCTCATTCTCCTGAAGCGATTATTGGAGAAGGTAATTGAGGCTCATATGGCTGACCACTGAGTTATTTTTGGGTGAAACCCATAAAGAATGACCTAAGCAATGAGTGGAAGTTTAATGCCTTCACCTTAATTAATTTTGAAAGAGATTCAAAAGTGCTTCAGGCGTGATAAGAGAAAGGACTGTCTAAAGATGCGAAAAACATCAACAGGACAAAACAACTAGTATATCAGGTCGGAATAACAAAAAAAAACATACTTTTCTTAGTTTATATGCTGAAACATAATTGAAATATGAAAAAAAAATCTTACCCCCTAGCCAATGAAATTATGTCTTTCTCATTTGTTTTGTTCTTCACTACGAAACGAAACTTGGAAATTGAGTTTATACCAAACAAAAAATGTCTCTGATTTTTCCACAAGGAAATAATAACTGATGTATGGTTAACAGAAGGTTTTAGTTTTGCCCAGCTGGCGATGGTGAAACTTTTGTTCCCGAAGTCCACTGCGGCGGTTGTTGCGTACGATGAGGTAGTCCCGTTAAGGTGCAACGTCTTTACACCATCTTCTTCCGTGTATTCCGCATCATTCGCGAGTCTGTTCAAAATATAAACACATTTGTTCTGTTGTAAATGAGACATTTTTGGCTGTGTCGAAAATATTCTGTGTTATTTCGCACTTGAGTTCCTTCAAATCGAGTATAATTTACTTTTCACTCTTTGTATATTGACCCTCGTTATGAGCAATTTCACTCACCGTACATCGGAGTCGCTTCCGTCTAATTTCCAGTGTTTGATGACATTGACTAATTGTTTGTTCTCACCTTAAAAATCAAGATTCTTATTAGTATTATTCTTATACCTTTATTCCTATACTATGATTCTTATTACGATTAGTATTTCCGATGCTCTACCATTGAGCTGTAGAGGAATCGTGGTGGGCTAGGCCGCTTAGCCAGGTACATGACAATTTTTCGTTTCTCTAGATACACAAGAAACCTCATTATCAATCATTTAACTTCTTTAACGATCATTCTTCTAAAGAGTGGTATTCATATTTTTTAAAGTGACTTTTTAATATCTGCCAACCTGTTTCATCGATTTTGACACGGTCAAGCAAATGACTGATAAACTCATTCTCGTTTTCGTGAGTGATTGACACAAGTTCTCCATCAATCGAATGACAGAACTGCTGGGCTTCTTCCCAAGTCTTTCTCTCAGAGAAACTTTTCAGGAGCTTGGAACCAAATCTAAACCAGCCATCTTGAAAAACTAAATCAGAAAACAAAATCAAAATTTCGAATTTTTCAATTGATGCGTCAAGCGCATTATGAAGTCAACGATTTTCATGTCATGTCATATGTCAGCAAGCATAACCTCTTTTCTTTAAACTTGCGATACTCAGGAGCATATTAATTGAAGGGCAAGGTGCATTAGTTTTTGTTTGTTGTGCTCTGTAATCGGGCTTTTCCCTTTATCGATAATGGCGACTCGACTCGTGTCTTCCCGTGCTTAGAGTTGTCCTCCTGTGCCTCTGGACATTGAATAGAAAAGCACTTTATTGTGCACTGCTATAGCAAAGGCAAAGAAAGGTAGCCCTTTTTACGCAGGCCCTTTGCAATGCGATGGTAAATGACAACAGACTTACCATCTTTGTAGATACACTGCTTTGTTGTACAATGCTCAACTTTCTAAAATTTGAGAGTAAAAAATAGATATTCCAATAATTACTGAGAAAGATCGAATATCCTTGATTTGACAACCAGAGCAATCAGTATTTTTTTCATGGGTATCTGCGAACGTATTAATATATTCTGATCTGAGATTGTGTTAATTTGTAGAAAGAATTTACAAACTGGTCGGTGCCATCAGTGAAATGGTGACAGCCACTTACCACAAGTTGCTGGTAACGAGTTTCAGGACTGAATAGGAAATCCTGTGGGTCAGCCGTTTTGCTCGAATTGTTCAGTTCGCACGTGACCCAACCAGTCGGGAGTGATCTGACATTCATAGAAAAACATAGTGGAGTGTCCACGCATTGCCACACACATGTTATCGGTTGCATGGCGGTCACGGTTTTTATCACGTGATTCTCGAGGGCATGACCTTCCTCTTTCACAAACTTAGTCGTTTGACAACCAGCAACACAAGGTAAAAAAATTATAGCAAACCACTTCATGCTGAAAATGTTGAAAATAGGGAATCAGTAAAGTTTTGGAGTATAAGCGTCATCATCATCAATTCGCTGTAACGTGGGAAGAGTTAGGGTTACGGTTAGTAGGAAGGGAAAAAGCTACATTAAGGGAGGAGATGGCGAAGAGCAACAAATGAAGAAGGAACGATGAAGGAATGGAAAGAAATTTGTCAAGAAAGGAGAAAAATAAATCATAACAATTGGTGTGTAATTTTTAATACGTGAGTTTCTTTCCTCAAACCACTGCCTAACAAAATGTTTAGGGCTTATCGTAGGATAAACTTGTTACAAACCAAAACACAAGTACAGAGACTCAAACTTCAAACAGGCTTAAATTACAAGTCAAAGCAGTTAAGAAAATGAAGAAAGATAATAAGATATCTTTGGCACGTTTATTCCTGATCGTAGAGTTTTACCATTTCTGCACCTTTAATTTACAAAGATTAAACTGCAATCGAAATGTCAGATGACATACAAGTCATATCCCAGGAGGGAACACCGCGAACTTTTTGTAGCAACGGCAACCACATGCTGCAAAACGATACATATTCGCTTTTTCGTATAATTTTTTTACTTTATCAATAGCCACAACTTTTATGTATAACGTAACTTCTAAAGTTATATTGTACATCACGTTTTGTTTTCTACCATAGCTACTTACGACATATCAAACAAATATGCGGTTTTGAAACAGACAAGTTTATGCTAGAAAATGAAAGAATCCTCCTTAAAAGTACTTCGTACCTTATTTTCTTCTTGTTTCAAGTGACAAAGTCCTCAAAAAAACTTAATAACTGGAAGAATCATCCCCTTAAGGCTTACGACGTGACTGTAGGTAATACTACTTTGTTATGGTCACCGCTGTGTGGAGCCTTGCAAACACATTAGCTTTTCTACCTTATCTCGTACCAGAACTGCTTCTCATTCAATGTATTATTTTCTCAGATCTAATCGTAGGGGGTCTTTTGTAATTACAAATTTAATCTAAAGTATAATAACGAAACGAAAATGCATATCATATACATAATAATATCACAGCGAGGATGATATAATTTTTGTGATCTGGTTTTAGTTTCTTAGTTATAGACAAGTACACTTATTTGGTAACTATGATAAAAAGAGACGAAAAAAAACACCACCATTATATCCGCTGTTGATCACTGCTGCGCTATATCAATGTTTCCTCTTTGGGGCTACCCTAAATAGTTTAAGTTCTAAGTATTGATATAGTTGTCAGTTAATTAATTTTCACGCAAATATAGAGTTTTACCATTTCTGCACCTTTAATTTACAAAGATTAAACTGCAATCGAAATGTCAGATGACATACAAGTCATATCCCAGGAGGGAACACCGCGAACTTTTTGTAGCAACGGCAACCACATGCTGCAAAACGATACATATTCGCTTTTTCGTATAATTTTTTTACTTTATCAATAGCCACAACTTTTATGTATTACGTAACTTCTAAAGTTATATTGTACATCACGTTTTGTTTTCTACCATAGCTACTTACGACATATCAAACAAATATGCGGTTTTGAAACAGACAAGTTTATGCTAGAAAATGAAAGAATCCTCCTTAAAAGTACTTCGTACCTTATTTTCTTCTTGTTTCAAGTGACAAAAGTCCTCAAAAAAACTTAATAACTGGAAGAATCATCCCCTTAAGGCTTACGACGTGACTGTGGGTAATACTACCTTGTTATGGTCACCGCTGTGCAGAGCCTTGCAAACGCATTAGCTTTTCCACCTTATCTCGTACCAGAACTGCTTCTCATTCAATGTATTATTTTCTCAGATCTAATCGTAGGGGGTCTTTTGTAATTACAAATTTAATCTAAAGTATAATAACGAAACGAAAATGCATATCATATACATAATAATATCACAGCGAGGATGATATAATTTTTGTGATCTGGTTTTAGTTTCTTAGTTATAGACAAGCACACTTATTTGGTAACTATGATAAAAAGAGACGAAAAAAACACCACCATTATATCCGCTGTTGATCACTGCTGCGCTATATCAATGTTTCCTCTTTGGGGCTACCCTAAATAGTTTAAGTTCTAAGTATTGATATAGTTGTCAGTTAATTAATTTTCACGCAAAAATTAGTATACAGTTCTCAATCCATACTCACTTTGTTTTGTTATCTATTCAGAATCAAATTGAAAAAAGAGAAATAATAAAACTAACGTTTTTTACAGATTGGTTTCTCACTACTTCTCATTTTTTGTGCTTGTTTATCTCACTCTACCGTGATTATTAACATTACAATGTAATATTAAATTTCAAGATGTCGTTCATGCTGAAAACATACATTCAGCCACCTTTCAATTTGCCCGTTTACAGTTACAATATAACAGAATAAATTTAAGTTCTGTGGATACAATTTACTTGAAGAGAAAGCAAGAATGAAATTATAGTTATTTAGTTCCTGATTATTCGCTTACTGTCTCGATTATTATTTTGGGTCAGATCTTAAATTATACATTTTCCAATTACGTTACATTATAATTTCATTACGTGTAACAGCTGCATCCTAGTTGACGGTTATTCATAACTGCCACTTACAAATATCCATACTAGTTATTGGCACTATGCATAAATCGGAAACGTTAAGTGCAAATATTAAAAAGTAGTCAGTGAGAACTTGAAACCAATGGAAAACTCAGTTTTCAGCTCTCTTTTCTGATTTTCATAAGGTTAAAATCGATTTAACTGAAAGTTATTTGCTGGTGTGAATGGGATTCAAGCAAAAGCAAAAAACTTTGCTGTTTTGAATCGAGAATTTTAACTTTTGAGCATTTTTCAATCAAACGATGTGTTAATTCCGAGCTTATATTCTAAAAGAATCGAGACTTAATAAATGTTAGGCTTATTTTTCACACACAAACGGTAGTCGCCTCCCGCAGCTTGTGTCGTCCCAGGTCCCTTTAGAAATTATCATCGCGACACAGTCCTGGTAACCATAGCTGTTATCTGGTTGACTGACAGCCCAGTTGGTGTATGTTACGTGAGTACCACTGGGCCAAAGGAAAGTCCCCTCTGTGGTGATGTCATTTCCACCGATCCAAACACCATCAATTATTTCAAACTTAGGATCTATTATGATAGATAACGATTTACATTATAGTGAGGAAAAAAAACCTAAGTTGTTCTAAGTTGTATGTTTGTATGTAACGGTCAAGAATTGCTTTTTCAAGATCTAAGTTGGGTTTTCATAACATCAAGCAGTAAGCCCTCAAAGCTTTTCCAATTTCCCTAAAGTTTCATAGGTATCCATCTGTGCTCTCAGGTTGAAAGAGAGAGAGACTGTTAGAGTGAAGTATCTCGCTAGAGAACACAACACACTGACTCCGATCCGGAATGTCTCGAACTCAGATCCCTTGTTTATATCCAGGGCTATGCTAATCAGCCCACCACCTCTAACTCTTAAAGTGAAAGGCTGAAAATTTTTGACGCAAGAGAAGGTTCTGTTTTCTTAATTTGTTATTTTTGTTTTTTTTTTCGTAAACTCGTGTTGAATAAGTCGAAGAGAACAAAAAGTGTCTTTCCATTCACCTGAAATATTGGCAATCTCTTCCGCATTAAGAGCTCTGCCGATAATCGTCAGATTTTTTAAATTTCCTCTGAGACGGCCCCCGTTGTCCCTCTTCAGTCCGATGTCATAAGTCGTATGGGAAGTTTCCGCAAGGAATGTGTCATTCGGTACCTGCTCAGTTCCGATCTTTTGACTGTTTAGAAATAGGAGAACCTCGCTTGTTTGTCGGTCCCAGACCGCTGCGGCATGAAACCATTGGTCAGTCGGTGAAGACCTACAGTATGATGCAATTGGTTAGTGTAAGGGATCAGTTTTATAGCCTGGGAGGGGGGTGGTTTAGGGGATTTGGTGGATCACATGGTTTTCAGAGGGAACAGAGGGGGGATCAGTCGTTTCAAACAGAATTCAAAAAGGAGACCTTAGGAAATTCAATTTATTGGTAGGTTTTATTTCATACTTAAATCATCGTCGGGGTTCAGAATCAGACCACCAAAACATGAAACGGTATACAAATAGAGAACTACACATTCAGTTCGACAATGTAACTTGGGATTCATTAGAGTGAATATTCATATTTTGTGCAAATTGGATTTAGACAAAACAGGCTTTTGGAGCCTCGGCCATTTTTTTAATTTTTAATTACTCCTTCTCCATCCTCACCCCCCCTGTAAGCCATGGTTTCCATTCCCCCTTTTGATTAAAATCTCAAAAGCGTAGCTTTTGAGCGTTCCCTTCGGATGCAGTGAAAAGGAAGCTCGTGTCACTTTTCCAGTCGCTGTAAATAGGTGACGGATCATTGACAGGCGTTCGAAGTTAATCCAAACTGTGATTAGAGTGAATATTCGTATTTTGTATAAATTGGATTTAGACAGAATCAACTTTTGGAGCCTTTGCCATTTTTTAACTTTTAATCACCCCTTTCCCTTCCTCACCCCGCTGCAAGCCATGGTTTCCATCCGGTCCTTTGATTATAACCTCCAAAGCGTAGGTTTTGAGCGTTCCCTTCGGATGCGATGAAAAGGAAGCTCGTGTCACTTTTCCAGTCGCTGTAAATAGGTGACGGATCATTGACAGGCGTTCGAAGTTTCACCCAGCTGGCCATGGTAAAACTAGTCTTGTCAAAGTTAACCGCTGGGGTCGTAGCATGGGCACCCGCTCCGTTCAAGTACAACGACTTTTGCTCATTATCCTCTTCGTATCTTGCTCCATTGAGGAGGCTTTGAAAACATAAAAAAAGTACTTATTGTGACAACTTCAACAACCTCAATGAATACTCTTTGTATATTTAACAATAACCAAAGTCAAGGTAAATATCCCCCGTTAGCCACTAACACTGAGGTAAATAGTTGTTTTATTATATACTAAAACAGCGATATAATATAGCAGAAAGAATTATTTTAAAAGAACTTTATATTTTCTAAATAAAAAATGATCGGTCATCAACATTAGAGCAGTTAACTCCACTTAGTTATGTAATATTGAGGAAATGAGAAGACAGGGGAATGCTTTGCTTTTTTCACGTCTCACCTGACGTCATTGTCGGTTCCATCCAAAAGCCAGCGTGCTATGATGTGATAAGGCTTTTCACCTTGAATTGCATGATACGATTTATGTGAACAATATTGAATTCAACAATATTTAACTCATTAACTCCCAGAAGTGATTAACATGCAATTTCTCCGGGTCATGTGAATACTTATACTTATCAGAAAAAAGTTGTTATCTTGAGTTTACACTAAATTCTCTTAACTTATTTACAATGAATTGTGTACCAGCTAGAGGGGAGAAATAACATGTGAATTAAAGGGTAAGATGATTATCATTGATTAGGAGAGGGAAGGTGGAACAAGAGTTTTTTTTCCCCAAGGGTGAAAATAAAATCAAAGAACTATAGCTGAAACCATCTTGCGTTTAGATATTAGAGTCATAACAAAACCCTTTAAACAGTTTCCTAATTGAAACTGAAATCAGTTTTCATGAAGGCTCAGTCTCTTTGACACGTTTGATCAACACACAACAATCGTCAAGTTCTTACTAGAGAAATCTTCAATTGAATGTCGAGAGTGATTAGAGTACAGTGCTTTGCTTCAGTTCGTTTCGCGTTTAGTTTAGAAAACCTGCACGATCCCCTAAACCAATCAGATTCAAAACTAATACCAATCGACCAATGGCCACTCGCATTTTTCCGCGCTTCAAGCCGTTTATTCGTCTTTACTTTGAGTGCCCATTGGCTCCCAGTAAAATTTTTCTTTCCTTGATTGGCTGTTTTTATTATCATGGTTTTTTTTTCACAACACTGACACTC